AGAGAGAGAGAGAGAGAGAGAGAGAGAGAGAGAGAGAGAGAGAGAGAGAGAGAGACAGAGAGGAAGTGACGTGGATCTGTAGGCAGGAGTGAAAGTATGAAGACATACTTGGTGAGATTCGATGGCGGGTCTCGGGGGAATCCGGGTGTGTCGGGATCCGGTGCAGTGCTGTACAGTCCGGAAGGTCGAGTGTTGAGTGAGGCCTCTGTGTATGTGGGGCCGCAGTCGACGAACAACGTCGCGGAATTTGAGGGGCTGATCGTGGGGTTGAGAATGGCTATCGCTCACCGCGTTGGGAGTCTGAGAGCGGAGGGCGATTCTGAGCTGATCATCAAGCAGATGAACGGGGTTTATCGCGTGAGAAAGCCTCATTTGGTCCCTCTTTACCAGAAAGTCCGAAACATGGCCGACAGGTTTGACTTCATAGAGTTTGTACACATTGAGCGCGCGAAGAACCATGTCGCCGACGCTCTGGCAAACAAGGCAATGGATGAAAGGAGGACACGATTGCCGTCCATCTTTAGGGGACTAGACGCCGTGGAAGCGGGAGAGGAGGAGGAGGAGGAGGAGGAGGGAGGAAGGAGGGACTTCGCTTCGCTGTACAATGGAGGAGAGTTGCGCTACAGCTACGGTTACGGCGATACCATAGACGGTCAGACCAGCTCACTGCGCCCACTCATCAGCAAGAAGAGAGACCTTAGCGTGATGACGGGTGGCGGCCATTCTACTAGCTTCGCGCCAGCCATGGGGGAGACCTCCCGCGTTAGTCCGTCGTCTCCTGATACCCCAATGGAGAAACGACCGAGGAGCTGTGAAGCCGGTGAGAAAGACGAAATCACCGCTCTCTCTCCCCCATCTTCCTTTCTTCGGCGTCTGTTTTTTTTTTTTCGGTTGGTTTTTGGCATTACCACGATTCGTTTTTTTTTAAATTTTTATTTATTTGTTGTTGTATTTTTCCGTCCCTCATATCTCATTCTACACCCAGCTTTTTCCAGTCTCGTTGGTTGTCCTCCTCGATCCCTTTCCCTTCCCATCGCTTGCTCCCCGTCCTCGTTGTTCTTTACGTCTGTCTTCTCCTCGCTCGTCGGAGAGGCCTCCCTGGGTCTCCCACTCCCTTTCTTGTTCTCTCCTTGTCCGCGGTTTACCGATCCATTCCCCCTCCCTCCCTCCCTCCCTCCCTCCCTCTCTTTCTCTCTCTCTTTCTCTCTCTCTTTCTCTCGCTTTGTGGTCTCGTATTTAACAAGGATGGAATTGATGCAACAATCTTTTCTTCTCACATGCTATCCCTGTTGGTTCGTTTGTCTTTATTTGGCTTTGCCACGTTGGCCGCTACTCGTGGTCGTCGTCTGTCTCGAAAACCATGATAAAGGTGAAGTTGGTGATCAACGATGGATGAGCAGTGGTGATGGCGTTGTTAATGTAGCCCTGGGACGCACGGAAGGTCAACGAAATAGTGAAGGGCTTGCACAGTCAAAGTGCATACATATATTTATATATATATCGTCACAAAATACTTGTGACGATATATATATATATATCGTGACGATATATATATTTATATGTATTTAATGATAAAGGTCGTGATCGACGATGGATGAGCAGTGGTGATGGCGTTGGTAATGTAGCCCTGGGACGCACGGAAGGTCAACGAAATAGTGGAGGGCTTGCACAGTGAAAGTGCATATATTGATATAATGATAAAGGTGGTGATCGACGATGGATGAGCAGTGGTGATGGCGTTGGTAATGTAGCCCTGGGACGCACGGAAGGTCAACGAAATAGTGGAGGGCTTGCACAGTGAAAGTGCATATATTGATATAATCATAAAGGTGGTGATCGACGATGGATGAGCACTGGTGATGGCGTTGTTAATGTAGCCCTGGGACGCACGGAAGGTCAACGAAATCTGTCTCTTATACACATCTAGATGTGTATAAGAGACAGGTACCCCCCATTTCGTACCCCATTTCGTACCCCATTTCGTACCCCCCATCCTTCCCCATCTCCCTCCCCACCTCGTTCCCCCCATTTCGTACCCCATTTCGTACCCCATTTCGTACTCCCCATTTCGTACCCCCCCATTTCGTACCCCATTTCGTACCCCCCATTTCGTACCCCATTCCGTACCCCCCATTTCGTACCCCATTTCGTACCCCATTTCGTACCCCCCATTTCGTACCCCATTCCGTACCCCCCATTTCGTACCCCGATAAACGGGGGGGACCTAATTCGCATTCCGTACTCTTCTTCATACCACATTTCATGACCCGTTTCGTACCCCACTTCAAAATCCAATCTTGTTTATAAAATTTTAAACTGCATTTCATAGCCCGCCCCATTCCATGCCCCGTTTCGTACCCCATTTCGTACCCCGTTTCGTACCCCGTTCCGTACCCCCTTTCGTACCCCATTTCGCACCCCATTTCGTACCCCCCATTTCGTACCCCATTTCGTACCCCATTTCGTACTCCCCATTTCGTACCCCCCCATTTCGTACCCCATTTCGTACCCCATGTCGTACCCCATTTCGTACCCTGATCTTCGTCTCGTCGAAGGCGGGAAGATTGGGCGTGAAGATGATGGTTGCATTCCGAGGATGGTGTTTATCTCTAACCCCGTGCTCCGTAAAAGATCGACCCCAAGCCGCGAACTGGAGCTATCAAGCGGCTCACCCTCGGGAATGTCGTTCACACGATCTGGAGTGCGCAGTTTGTTTCCTTGTCTTCCTTTCTTCTCCTCTAAGACTTTTGTTTTTTGCGTGCGTGGGGGTGTGGTTCCTCATTTTCACTGGATAAATGGAATGAAATGAATTGAAATAATTTGTTATGGCCTTGAATTACTGAAGTTATACTAAGCGGAATGAACTGCGACACTATCGCGGCCGCAGCATATAGTCGTATTCCCGCCGGGGGCTAGGTCCCACTTGCACGGTGATTAAGAGATTCTGGCCGTTGATCTTTGCTATCTACGGTCAATATCGCTTTATTCGTGTAAGTGGGACCTAGCCCCGGGATCGTGACGAATCTGGCAATGATTCAGTCGTGCTAGACGTAGTACACAGTTTAGCACTACTTAGCACAGGGTAACTTGCTGAGCTTAGTTTTTTTTTTTTTTTTTCCCCCTTACAAAGGGGCCCAGTGCCCAAGGCTCATATTGCCAAAGAAAATTCGAGGCCGGGGTCCTCACAGTCTACCCGGAATGGAACACATCTGGGGGCGTTACCCAGTTTTTTTTTTTTTTTTTTTTACACAAAAGGGGCCCTTATAGGGCTCTACGTTACCCAGTTTCGCTTACAGGGACACTGCCCTGCAGGGGACCACCCCCCTGGTGCCTCAGAGATCTGCACAAAACCAAAGCATAATCGGTCTAACTATCCGATGTCCGAAGACAGGCTGCTTGCTGAGCTTAGTATAGCTTCCTTTGAGAAAGGGATTAAAAAAAAAAAGAAAGAAGAAAAGAAAAAAGTATAGCTTCCTTAGCTTAGAATAGCGTATTGCTCACTTGGCTAATGTAGCTCACTCCGCTTAGTACACTTGAACTCGATAAAAGCTTAAGAGTGACTTGCTCGGCTTAGCGCGGCGTAACTTACCGAGCTTAGCGTAGCCTGCGTAGCTTAGCGCAGCTCAACTTACCTAATGTAGCGTACTTGCACGAAAAGCTTAGTGCAACGTAACTTACTGAGCCTGGAATCGCTCTTTTCGCTTAGCACAGCGCAACTTACTGAGCTTAGCATAGCTTGCTTAGCGTTCGCACAACGTGACTTGTTTAGTTTAGTATGCATAGCTTAGTGCGTTAACAACGTAACTTACTGAGACTAGGATAACTTGCTTGGCTTAGCACAGTCTATCTTACTGAGCTAAGCACACCTCCCTTAGCTTAGCACAGCGCAGCTTGCTGTATTTAGCTTAGCGTAGCTCACTAAGCTTTGTACAACGTAACTTACTGAGCCTAGAATAGCTCTCACTTGGCTTAGCATAGCGTGAATTTCTGAGCTTAGCATAGCTTGCTTATTCCCAGCACGTGCTGCTCCCCACGAATAGATCGGAGCATTGTTCCCCTCCCCCCCCCCCCCCCCCCCCYCTCAAAAAAAAAAAAAAAAAGCTTGCTTGGCGTTGGCACAACGTAACTTACGTATTTAGCTTAGCGTAGCTCACTAATCTTTGTATACAACGTAACTTGCTGAGCCATAGCGTGAATTTCTGAGCTTGGCATACCTTCCTTAGCGTTGGCACAGCATAACTTACGAGCTTATGTAGCTTAGCGTTGCCAAGCCTTTACTACAACGTGACTTTATGACGTTAGAATAATAAGAAGATAGCTTTTACTTGGCTTATCACAGCGTAACTTGCCGAGCTTATCTTACCTCTCGCTTATCTTAGCACAGCGAACTTATCTTACTAGGCTTAGTAGAACCTAACTTAGTGAGTAGAACCTAACTTAGCGAGCTTAGAATAACTTACTGGACTTAGCAAAGCGTAACTTAGCTGATCACAGCGTAACTGGTTGGCGTAGAATAGCTCACTGAGCTTAGCACAGCCTATAAAGTACTTAGCTTGACATAGCTTAAGCACAACATACCTTACTCGCTTAGCCGGAAGCAACATTACCTCCGGCAGTATCATTCATTCATTGTATGTTTTAGAATCTGACATTCAATGACGTTTGCTTTTCAACATCAGTTCAGAAGCTCATGATTTCGGGGATGATAAGACCTGGGCGATCTCTTAATGACAAAGAATGCGCCCCCTTTTCTGGGGTCTTTGTTATGGGCTGGGGGGGGGTAGGTGGTCTCAATTTTTAGGTCGGAGGTAGTGTACTGCTGTTGGTCATCCTTAGCTCGCCTGCGCTTGGCTTAGCTCGCCTGCGCTTGGCTTAGCTTACCTTAGCTTGGCTTAGCTTACCTTATAGCTTGGCTTAGCTTACCTTTGCTCGGGTAGGAGGTTAAGCTTTTAGCCTAAAAGATCCTGGACGGCTTATTGGACAAAATTCATTGCTAAATTCATTGCTTGATCTTGCGGCTAAGTTTCTGTGCTCGGAATAATATCGAAGTTTGGCAAGTCCTTACGACCAGAAAACCCGTGAAGAGGGAGAGGGTGGTGTCCTTGGGGACATCTGTTAAATTTGTGGAACAAACGAAAAAAAAAAAAAAAAAAAAAAGAGAAAGACGATTAGCAAGGCCCCTGCGCAAGGATGACACACGGAGAAATCGAGAAATGGTCCACAAAATGTTGTGTCCAGTGTCCACTGCTGGGGGAAAGTCGAGAGGCTGGAAATTTGTGGAAAATGCACTCGCTGCGATGCTCGCCCCGCCCCGTTAAAATTAAAAAAAAAAGAGAAGAAGAGGGAGAGGGGCCAGGCTGGGGGGGGGGAGGACGGTGATAAAAAACACAGGAAAAGGGGGTGCATTTCCTCGGCCTTCATATCATGCCTACTTTTTTTTTTTTTTTTTTTTCTCTGACCAAGACCTGGTTAGACGAAAGGCAAGCAGTTGTATTTCCTTGGGTTTGTCGTAGCGATTTTTATTTTTACTGAACGAAAAAATATTTTTTGCAAAAAAAAAAAAAAAAGTTTCTGTTGGCCTGTTTGATAGGTTTGTTGGGCATTTTTTGGCTCCATCTGATGGTGATCGCAATATCCAAAGGTCACCCCCCCCCCCCCCCCCCCCCCCCAAAAAAAAAAAAAAAAAAAAAAAGATCAAGCAAAGGTGTGAATTTGCCCGGCTAGTAAAACCCAGGCATGTCCCACACACTGCAACTAGTGATATTTTCTCTCGATCTACTATCTAATCATTTCCATTCCGGTAGTAATTACTAATTAGTAGGTAGTAAAGGCTATAAACAGTGTAAAGCCAAAAGGCCCAAAACCACTCAATGAAGGGCAGAGCATTAGAACTGCGCTCCGGGTGTTTCTTCTTTTTTTTTTTTTTTTTTTTTCCGCGTGTTTCTACATGTCTCTTCTCTTTTTCTTACGGGAAGGGGGAAAAAAAAAAAGGGGCTGTAAAGCCAATCGATCAATGACGGGCAAACATCAGAAGTGCGCTCTGTTTCTACATGTCTCTTCTCTTTTTTTTTTTTTTTTTGAAACCCCCTGTAGTGCTAATGGTGCTGATAAGAGCTGACACGACTAGCACCCTGCTTGCTTCTACATGTCTCCTCTCTTTTTTTCTTCCTGTCTGGGGAGGGGAAGAAAAAAAAAGGCTGTAAAGCCAATCAATCAATGACGAGCAGCAGCTGAACTGTTCTCTGCTTGCTTCTACATGTCGCTTTTTTTTTTTTCTTTTTTCTTTTTTCGGTCTGGAAGGTTATTAAAGGCTGTAAAGCGAATCAATCAATGACTGGCAGAGCAGCAGAACTACTGTGCTCAGCTTGTGTCTGCACGGCTTTCTCTTTTTCTGTTTGGGAAAGAACACGGCGTGCATATTGTTTGCGCGCGAGCAGTAGGTGCACAGTTTTGTTCCGTACATCCATCTCCCTCTCTTGGCCAGGGGCGTGGGCGTGAGGGTATTCACACGCACCCATCTCCGCCTATCGGTCACGGGAGTGAGGGTTTTCATACGGGTAGGGGCATGAGAACGCCATCGCTGAATCAGAAGCTGATGTAGGCCTTAGAAAAAACCACGAAAAAAACAAAAAGAAACAGCTGATATAGGGCTAACGTAGGACTCGTATTGCGACGCCCTATGGTCTGTGTTCCTTTCCAGCCCCGCCCGCGAAAGGGAAAAAAAAAAAAGAATAAAGGACGTCTAAAAAAAACAGAAATGTACAAGTTTGCATTGTCCCTATCGATCTCTGCGCTTTACAGGATGTTTGCCATTATATATATATATATATAGAATCCAGGGGTACTAATGAAATTTGGTTGCACATGCCTTTCTCGGCCTTTTGGCGAAGATCAATTAAAAGAACAAAGGTCGTCTGAAAAAACAGAAATGTACGAGTTTATCTCTGCGCTTTACGGTGTGTTTGCCATTATATATATATAGAATCCAGGGGTATTATTGAAATTTGGTTGCACATACCTTTCTCGGCCTTTTGGCTAAGATCAAGTCTAGATTCCGTTCTGACCAGTTTAATAGTATCTTAAAATAAATGAATAAATAATAATAATAATTTGGTTGCAATCGGGGTTTTGCCGATCTAGTTCGTGTCTGGCGGCAATTCGCGGCCTGATCTTGGTTTTTCTCTCCCTCTTTCTGTGCGTTTGCCTCTCTCTCTCTCTCTCTCTCTCTCTCTCTCTCTCTCTCTCTCTCTCTCCCTCCTTTTCATTCTCAAGCATGGTACGTCTGTGTAGTGAATACGAAAATCACTCAATGAAGAAAAAGTACCAATCAGCGAGTACGCAAACCACTGCTCTTAAAAAAAAAAAAAAAAAAAAAAGAGTCGCAGTTCTGTCTTCCAAAACGATTCTCTTGATTCTCTTGCTAGTGCCTCTTCCTGACTTAACAGTATTTGGAGGTTTGTGGGTCCGGCCGAGGGCTACCTTCTTCCCCCGAATACAACGTACGGTCATTATAGCTGAATTTGGGGTATCTTTCAGTCTAGATACAGCTATATAACGACCGTGACGTTTTCTCCCTCCCTTTTCCCTTTGGAGCGCGGCATCTCATTTCTTTCATTTGGTTTTGAAGCATGGCTTCTCATGTCCCTGATGGCTTGTCATGTCTCTGTTTTCGTGTCTCTTTTTCTCCAGAAAGGCTAGGTTCTTCCCTCTCTCAATGATCGACATGACTTCTTCTTTGCACCGCCCTTTCCCTCAACTTGGCCGAAAGGCGTCGGGGAATTTGCGCGTTTCACCTGAGAACTGTACATGCGGAGAAGTAGTCAAATATCTTGCCGATCCGTGTGCGAGAAGCAGTGTAGGGGCACTGTTTTTCACTATTCTTCTTCTTCTTTCTCTTCTTCTTCTTCTTCTTGTTCTTTTTCGTCTTCTTCTTCCTCCTTTATTGCTAGTGCCCTTTTTATTTTTTCTGCACCTCTTTTCTGGTAGTCTTGCATTTGATTTCCGTCGTCTTTTTCAGTTGACGTCTTCTTTTATACATCCTCCTCGTCTAGTTTGCTTCCTATTCCTTTCCGATCCCTCAACTGCCTCTTCCTTCTTTGTTTCGGTCACTCTCTGGCCCCCATTTTCTGGTGGCCCCCATTTTCTGGGCCCCATTTTCTGGTGGCCCCTATGTTTCTCCATTCTTCCCTTGCCATCCCTCGTCTTTTCCCGCCGCGTCGCTATTTCTCGTATCTCGCTATCCCTTCTTCAGGTTCAAGCCTCAAAAGGGGGCTTCTTCCTGTTCTGGGCTTGCCTCACAGCGCAGCTTTCTGCTGCAGTGTTTTCAGCGTCTTCTCTACTTTTGCTGCCAAAAGGCTGTGCTTTCTCTCCAAAGCCCCCCCCNTATGATCTACAAACGGGCTGCTGCTGTCAAAGAGGGAATGGCTGCTTTTCGGGCTTGGGAAACAATGGGGTAGAAAAGGTGAGGGGGGGGGGGGGGGAGAGACGTTCCATCAGCAGAAGGTTACTTGCGGCCGCCAATGCATGCGGGAGCTGTCTCTTATACACATCTAGATGTGTATAAGAGACAGCCCCCCACCCCCCCCCTCTCTCTCTACATGCCGGCCTTGCTGCTTCTCCCTGCTCAGAACTTCCCACATTTCCACATCAGGAAAATCCGTTCCGAGTCGTATTTGCTTTTTTTTTTTTTCTACACGAGCCGCGTATCATCAGTGATCCTGTCATGAAAAAAAAAGGAACTAATAATTATTCGAGATGCCTGATGATCGAGGTACGTCCATCATCATGTTTATTTTTTTTATTATTATTATTTTTTAACAGGTCCGTATGAAGTTGGTTATTTCCGCTATACTTTCAGTGAAGCAGCGAAACTGATTCTTTTTTTTTTTTTTTGCATATTGAATAGAAATACAGAAAAGATACCGAAAGCAAGACGATGAAAGCCTTAAGATTGTCGTCAATGCGCCCGGGTCTTAGTATCGTGCACAATGCTCTTACGCGTCAAACACGTTGAGATTGTCGAACACGTTGATATCGTCAAACACGTTGAGATTGTCAAACACGTTGAGATTGTCGCCAGTGCGCCCTGGTGTTAGGAACATGCACAATGCTCTTACGGGTCACACAAACCGATTGCTATCCTCTCCTGTGTCTCAGCCCTCGTGCGGATCCGATTCCCATTCCCATTCCCATTCCCATTCCCAAACCTGTGGTAAGGGCTTCAACACACTGCCACGGGGCTGACCATAGGTGGCCACGTGTGGCCTTGTAATGCGTACACGTGGCACATTACTGCTCCCCTCCTCTCGGTGTGCACGGGTCGTTTAACAGACTGCGCACTCGGGGACGGAAATAGAATGATCCGTTTTCTGCGGGATATACTGGGATAGCTGGGGGGTCCCGTCGTGTCGGTCTTCTCTCCCTCTCCGTCTATGTATGTGAATATATATACATATATTTTGCTGGCTTGTGATGGGGTGTGAACCGACAGTCTGTAGAGTTTTCCATCTGGTGTGGGTG